TGACTTGGCTCTGACTGTGATGGCTGGGAAGATGGCACTGCCATGCACAAATCACATATCCAGGATCCTACAGGAAAGAATAAGCAGACACACAAATTACATAAGTCTTTCAATATTCATATCAGGGTTGTAATTTGGATTTGCCTTATTTTCTGAAAGACAGCCTCATAAGGGCTAATATGTGACATGGGATTATTCTGTTTTTAACCCGGAACTTAAACTGGAAACGTCCCAGTTTACAGTGTCCTCCCTGATGGAAACTTGGCCCAAAACTGTCTTGGTAAATCACACACAATCAACTTGCAGGCCCCAAGCGAGGGAAAACAGTTCAACTGACTCAACAGAGGCTCTGACTTAGTGGAAAAAACTTGTTTTTGTGCACTGGAGTTGAGCGTTTTGTGTACAAATGATAGGCAGTAGGCAAAATAACCTCCCATGTGATGAACCTGAGCTCGCTGCGCATGTGGTGGAGAGCTCTCAACTCAACAGTTGAACATTTTCAGTGTTGTGGAAGTGGTATGCAAGGGGACTAATAGTATGGATTTGGACAGGAACATATGCAATCAAGCGACGACCACATGATCAGATACAAGATTGGCACATGATGGCCAAGTTTGATCCATGACCTCAAGTCAACAACCGGTCACGTTTACCAGTACCCAGGCTGCCAGGATGTATTTTATACACAGGATACCAGGAGATGATATGTACCAGTTTGAAAATATCGATCACCTTTACACTCAAAAAGGTACCCTCATCTTTTCGATACATTTTGCTATCATCGTTCCCTCAGGGACATCTAGGATTGTCCTTTCATGCTGCAACCTTAATGCTCAATGCTGTGAAGTATGACAGATATGCCTATGGTACCAATCTATGGGACCTTGCTTTGCATGTACACTCACGGGGCAGTTCACGTGTATAAAAAAAAACACCAGCAGCGCCAACTGCCGAATTGGAGACAACACAAACTAGTCGCACCGGACAATGTTACAGTTAGATCCGAGGCTGTTTGGCCTTGACGTTGACTTTCATACTGGAACTTTATCGTGGTGAGACTAGTTCCTTTTGACAACTGCTCTGCATGTACGTTGCTGAATCGGGCAGGATTTTCCACCCAAACACTTTTGGGGGTGTTGGGGTGAGATCTATGGGAAATAAATGGCAAGAGACACAGCAAATGCTTACCTTCCGGTGGGGACGACATGGGCGGTTTCAGGCAGTACATGTGATAGCCCCGATCACAGTCGTCACAAAACAGCAGCTGATCCTGCAGCATGAATTGGCAAAGGGCACAAAACACTTGTTACTGTGCATGCCCTGACGTGTACAGTACTTGGCAACGAGAACTTTTGAACGTATCACCAGGCAGACGTTCTTCAAACATGCAGACATCGGCAGTTACAAGGTATGCAAATGAGTCTCGACCAATGCAACGAACAGATGGTATGCAATTCTGACAAATAAAGTTGGTCAAATCAACACAAAAACTGACAAAAGGCAACCCACCCTAAACACCACATTAAAGGCATGTACAACGTTTGCCAGATGCGCCATGTGCGCGTTCAGTGACCAATATGGCCATATAATTTCATAAATGGGTAGATAATTTTGGGCACGTGATCACAGTGCTGGTACATTGAAAAGGTCCCTCGGCACGGTGGAGACACTGTGCAAGTGTGTATGCTGTTGTGGAAAATGACCGTTTCTTGACAGGATCTGTTACAGCGTTAACTGGGTCACACCCAGGTGCACATGTACAGTACCGATACATGTACCTTGATTACGTGCCCAAATTACATGTATCGTAGCTGATGTTAACTTTAGAAATGACTTCCACGTGCCTCTTTGCAGGTCACTCTATCTTGCCCTTTGGCAATATGATATAATGTCCCTGCCCCAGTAAAGACTGCATTCAAATGTGCTGGTATCCATTATGAAACAAGTGTACATGTGGTGAGTGGCCTTGATCGAAGAATGGGTGAAAGAAGAGGAAGTGGTTGGTGTGGGTACAGACTCTCTCAACTTCAGAAACTACTAATGTTTTCTTGTTTGGAAGACAGATTTGACTAATGGCTTCTGACCACTATGGGGTATTACTTGAAGTTTTCCTTTCAGAAGTGAAACTTTTTTATTTACGGAAGGACGTACATCACTCCTTTGAGACTGACAGAATGAAACATTCTCAAATGAGAAAGCGCTATCAGGAATGCTTGTGTTCTTAGCACTTGGCAAGAGTACTTGTTAGGAATTTTATTAACTGCTCGATATCGGAGCTCTTGTTCCTAATTTATGTCTGCACTGAATAGGAGGAATAGACCAGACTGACAACAGTGACAGGGGTACACTTACATCATTATCTGATGTACCGCACAAGCCGCACGACTTGCATTCAATGCACTGCCAACGGTAGCTCTTGACTTTGGCGGTGATGTTTTCAGTGAATTGCAGGCAGGATGGATGGCCTGTGTGTGAACAACATTGAGCAACAAGGAGACTCGGTCAGGATCGGAGCGATGAGGTGGGCCGAGACCAACCACTGGCGTGGAAGGCGAGGGGTGTGGTTTTTGGGGTGAGCATGGGGTGGGGAGGGGGAGGGGCAAGCAGGCAGGCAGTGTCACAACTGCTGATGTTACATGCAAATTGGGAATATTTCGATGCACGCACCTGCCCATTTCAAGCCAGTTTTTCTCAAGAAGTCTGCCTCAAATGAATGCACCACTTTCCGATCAACAATCGACATGTAGCCAAAGCCCTGGTTTCAGGTAAGTTACATGTATGTGCCTTGCTGAGACAAAGCAAGTTCTGAGTACAATACATGTACATCCCAATGGAGCTGACAATTTCGGCTTTAATAGAAACCCAAGAAGGTTTCATGTTATGGCTAAAAATTTACTTCAGGTGAGAACAAATGTGTTGGACTCTATGCCCATACCAACCAGACAAGTATTAAACAGACGTGTACAGTGTACATGTATTAAAAGAGGACTGTACAATGCTGTACATTGCTGGTAATGAATAAATCGCTCATTTTGGATCACACGCTGGCACACAAACTACGCTACATTGACCTTCAACTCTGCACGCTTACGCTGTAAGCAGCAAGCTTTGAGCCATGGTAAAGGAACAAAGTTGAAAACAAAGCAAAGCTACAGGAACATGTATGGTGCATTCTACATGCCAATATCTTCATGTATATATGTATGTGTACATTATATGAACACTAGACATATTTACGTAGACCTACATGTACATGTATTAATTTGTCAAGTATGGCAACAGAAGCATGTCATTTTAGCAATACATAAAAGATGGTACAGTGCAAACCAAGCAAAACATGAAAACTCTAACAAATGAGTACTTGGAATGATTGAGGACACGTGTGCCACTAGTACGTGTATGATGAACTAATCTAAGTAGACCTCAGTTTGCCAGCCATTCACTGATTCCCATGGGATAGTACCGGTATGCTCTGTACACATACATTAGTGAGGATGCTTCAAAGAGTATCACTTCAAAATATGCTACAAACTACAAGTGCCACAAGGTTTTGGTCAACTTGTCACACGTGTAGATGTGTGTTTGCTACCACGAATCACTGCACATCAAATCACAATAAGCTACCTGTACATTGAAACAGTAGGGACACAGATCAAAATTTGACTGAGTGAACTTGCCTCTCAGGTGAAATGGCAAATCACTGTGCAGACTCTACATGTAGCAATATACTCTAAAAGAGGCCCCTGGGAATGGCTAGAAACATTACACTGCCTTTAAAAAAAAATGGCTGGAACAATACTTCTGCAATCACTAAGGGCCTCCTTGATGTACTGTGAGCATGTGCTATAGAGCTACATGTATGTATATTAATTAACCTTATCCTCCTCCAAAATCCTTCGGGCAGTTTTGGAAGATTTTGGAGGATTGAGGGTGAATGGCAAGTGTATGGCTGATTGTGAAAGATGCCATGTGTGAAGGTCGTGGGTTGGACTTTGCGTTGTTTATGCTTAGTCATGCTTAAACTTAGCTCGACATTACTTTGAAATCAACCGTGCTGCTTGAGAAAGCCATCTGCACTGCTGGAGGATTTTGAAGGATTGAGGAGCTGGGTACCTCTCATTTTGAGCATAAATGCAAAGATTGGAGGATTTTGGATAATTGAAGACGAATACGATTTTTAGACTGGGGCCACTGGAGGATTTTGGGGGACTGAGGGTGAGTCCCAGCAAGAGACCCTCCTGGGTTATGGTTAACCTACTGGAACGCGGACTTCATTTCTCATGCAGAGATACAGTACATGTACTTTAAAGGAAGGACATTTTGAGATCCACTGCATGTTTGAAGAGCATACTGAAATAAGATCTGGAATATAGTAGCACATGTACATGTATGTACACAAGCAATGACACACGCTTCTCTGTACAATGCCTGCACATGTAATTGAGCCGTAGTAGTGGGTCTACAAATACACGTTGTGGGGACCAAATGGTTACGGGGACCCCCTAGCTCGGTCCTGACTGTCTCGACAAAGACACTGTTCCCTTAACCACTTCCTGCTGGGTGGATTTCTCTTGAACGAGATGTGACCTTCTCACGATTTTCCATTTTCAAAATTCTTCAAAAATTCATGTTTTCATTTACTGGATATTTACACCCACATGAACGGCTCTCTGGTGGCTACTCTAATCTCTCAGGCAACCTTCATTGCCCCCCGAGTATTCAGCACAAGCCTGCAGCCCTGTAAAAGAGAGCCCAGAATTGTGTGGTGTTGCATTATTTCCTTTGTTCCAGTGAATGCCAGCAGCATCTTTTCATACGCAGCCAGATTAGAGAGCAGCAGCACTGTGTTGCTCATCAATGGGGCCCTGGAGTACTTTTGTCCCCAGTGCTAATCCGCGGGCGCGATATGCCCCGAACAGTGGTATACTGTTTCAAAACAGAGCTGGATTACCTTTGAAAAGTTGAAAAATGATGGCAATTCCCAGCAGTAAGAGTCTTTTGTTACACAGACCAGCTCTTTTGTCCGAAACCGGGCATCCCAGCTCTGTGTATAAACACACCGTGCCAGAAACTGGGTTCCCCGGCGGGAAGTGTTTAATGCAGTTTCGGCCTCCCCACATACACAAGCATGTGCACATGCAATGTTCCATGTGCATCATTGGCAGGGCATGTGGGTGGGCCTTTCCGGGTTATGGGGGCAATTTCTTTTGTTGGGCGAATTAGGACCAAGTTGTGCGACATTTCTCTGTCCCCATAACATTTTCAGTCCCCACAAAGTGTGTAGGTGAAATATCATATGCACATTCCCACAACTTAACTACGGAGCAAGAAGAACGCACTTGTTTGCATGTCTGTGTACACTAAAACAAGAGGTTCACTAATTGTTTTTCAAATTGGGGGTATATTGGCTTGACTAACTTATCAATACAGAATACAAATTCAGGCATGCAAAAAGACAAACATGTAGCTGTACTTCAGCCATGCGGAATGTTTAGCCAGTACTCTAGAATTTAACACAGTTCTTGGTTCTGTGCCAAGATTTGCCAGGATAAAGGTAGCTATGGAAACACTCTGTTGATGCGAGGAATGATACTGGCCCAAAGTGGGCAGGCCTATCGCAACCCAATCACTTGCTGCTCCCACAGCAAAACAACTGCAACATCACATACGCTTCATTTGCCAGTTCAACAATCAACATCTCACCACAAGAACCACACCATGCCACGCCAAGTCACGCAAGCTGTTCATGTTGCGGACACCGACCAAAGTCCTACCTGATCTCCCACAGTCTGCACAGGATACCAGCTCCTCCTGTGTGCCTTCTTTATTCCTGAAGGTGTCCCCGAGGCAGAAGTCACAGTAGTTATTGGGCTCAGCGATCCCTTTGATCATTTTCTTCTTCGCTAAAACAAACAAATACAAAAAACTGTTTGGAGAGTCTGACTTTATAATTTTCTCATACGAAATATATTTTCCCTTCCCTCAAAATGAAAGATTCTCCTAGGCCAATCCATGGCCGATGTTCCCTGACTGCTGTTTGCAAACTAGTCATACTTTTTCCAGATCAATGAAGATCTATTTTGGAGGTTTTTGATGGAAGGAGGATGGTGCATGTACAGTGTAGCCTCTACTGCATTCCATGGGCCTTGGTGTTCATAGAAAGTTCTAAAAAAGTTGGAAGATTCTCAAAGGTTTGTAGCCGAACTTCAACCAAACTAAATTGTATATAATCAATACGGAAAGTGGATCCCAAGTGCTACTTTCACAATCGTAAGGTTTTGGCTTGCTTGTTTTAGTCTGGGAAACATAGTATAAAGACAGCATGTATCCTGTCAGGATGAAATGTAGTAAACCAACAGAAACGTTTAGTTGAAGTTCAAGGCCCAATTTGATACCCAAGGGCTAGAAGGTACAATTTTGGCCAGTCCAAGATAACTTAGACCTGCATTATTGCAAACAGCAGTATGCTTGGAAGAGGTTGAAATACAAGAACTTGCTCTACAAGTTAAAAGCCTTTCGGGTGGATTCTGCATTTGAGCTTTTCTTCTTATCAAGTATTCAAGAGATATGTATATTTGAAGATATGAGCCACCAGTACCGATTTCTACATGTAGCAACCAACCACCCCCCCCCAAAAGTGTGACCTGTCTAGTCTCCAGCCTAGCAGTGGTGCTGATGCAGTGGTAAAATGCCATTTCTCAAACGTCTCCTTTTGGTTTTGTGGGACCAAAAAATGGTTTAAAAGCCTAAGATGAAGTTGCATATACAGTCCAGCTATTAGGAACATCTGATGATGAGATGCAACAGCACGGGTACATGTATGTATGTTGCTCTTGGAACATGTGCTCTTCATGAAAAAAGACCACACGCAAAATTTGTCACTACCTCCTTGTGCACATGTTTGTGATATCGGTGAAGGACTATAGAGATTTTTCATGTGACGTAATACGATGGAAAAGGCATTTCAGGAAGCGTACCATGTTCATGGAGACACATGCATTTTCGAACTTGGGTATTTCTATTGGCAGTTTCACTTACGCCCGGTTGTTGAGAGACTTCGAAGGCGTGTGCGTTTTTGTGCACATGTATAGAATTGAACGCTGACCATCAAAAATCACATGACTGAAAATCCTCTATATCATGTATACAAGCACTGCAAGGGAACTATAAAAACTTCTTTTTGTTCAACAGATACGTACTTTTACATGATGAAAATGTGTAGAAAACACATGTAAACTTAAGGTAACACTTTAAGAAGATAGTCAAAATTGCAGGTTCCACAACGCCAAATTTCTCATTGTCAGCAATATACATGTACCACCACCGGCTGTAAGTCACTGCAGTATTCTAACCATGCATACATGTACACGGTGTGAACTGAGGTATTACAATTTTCACTCTGGGCAAAAGCTCCCATTAAAGAGGGACAATGTTCAGAAAACTCATGGTGTATACCATGTTTTGCAGGTTTTTATGCATGCATCGTACTAACTTACATGTACATGTTATGCGTGAAATAACGACTTTAGTCTGAACTGCACTAGATAAATCACAGATTCCAAATTTAATCACCATTCCCCGCATGGGCTTGAGTGCATCTGCTGTGATACCACAGAGTATAATCTTATAGCATTTGTGCACAGCTGCAATACCAAACTTGCTCATAATACATGTACACTGTATGTAATCGGCTCTGCAAGAAAGGTGTATTATGTCACTTTTTTTCGAATTTGAGTCATGTATATGATTAAATCACTCATATCTGAACTTTCATTTGATATCTATTTCATCCCAGTGGCATTTTGCATTTTGGAGTTATTTTCCATTTGCATATTCATATAATTTAACTTTTTCACACATGCTTTTTGAGACAATGCCATTTAAACATAACGAGCAGAAAGATTAAACTTATTAGACACTCTCTTGGTTTTCCTTAGTAATAGAGTCTTCCTGGTCAAGCAATTGGCCTCAAGATATTTCCAACTATTTTCACCCTCGGCACCTGGAATGGGTATTACACATTTTTGCATTGCACGACTTAATACACCTTTTAGCAGTGTGGGTCACATATTACATCTACTTCCCCTCCACCAATGCTGTACATGTAGGTGAATAATTCCAAATGATGGGTTATTCGGCTTGGACTAAGAGCAGATGGCAAGAAGATGGACACAGAAGCTGAGGACAAGGAAGTGAGAGAGATGTGGGAACAGCCAGGAAGGAATTGAGAGGTGGTGAAAAGTTTTGTGAGATGTGATTTCATACAAACACATGTACATGTATGTATGCCATTACTGGGTGTTGAAATGACAGAGTGTCATTAGTGAGGAACAGTGCAGAATAATGGGCTTTCCCTGTGAATGTAGATCTCTGATTGTCTGAGCAGAACACCGTTTAAATGAAACTGTAAACCACGACATTGGCATAATTGTTCAACTGAGTCCTAACAAACACATTCTGAGGATGTACGACCTTGCAAGTCACCATGCATTACATACCTGTACAAAAGTCATGGCCACCTACATGGAATCTGTGACATTATCTTGAACAAGCGGAAGAAAGCCTCGTGTGAAAAATAAATCGACTGAGCTCCACTTAGTGCATACCTACATGTACGTGGACAAGCAATGTGCGAATGTACTACGAGGCAGCAAGGCAAATGCTGTGCATGTGCTTCATGCATTGCTGAAGTTTACCCACAGGCATCTTTCAACATACATGTACACGTTTGTCTCAACAAATGATATCTGCCCCTCAATGTGGTGCTAACTTACCCACTCCCCCTTTGGGAAAAATTAAATCTTCTAAATCTGCCTTTGCAGATTCCAGACACAAAATCACAATTAGAATAGAACTACACGGCAAATTTCATTTTTATTTCTTCTTCAAAGCAGGCCAAGATGAGTTTCTCTTGTACATGGGTGAATGACTCCTGTTTCTCAATGTGACATACATATAAGTCCTTGACTGTGGAAAATGCAACATATACAGGACGTATCAAAATAAAGGAAACCCAAATTCAACCATAATTTATAGGAAAAGTGCAGATTTCTGAGTTAAGCACAGACATTCAAAAGAACTTGTTTGTGTTGGCCTTACCACATTCAAATGAGCACCCACATGTACATGCATTGTACAGTGTACCTAACTCATTACAGTGCAAATTTCACTTGCTGGTCAACGATGCGTTGTTACTCGTTCAACTGTGACATTGAGCACAAGGAAAAGAAGACATTCAGGTCTTTCTGGAGACATACAATGCTTAATTAAGAAATCTGCAGTTTTCCTATACATTATGGTTGAATTTGGGTTTCCTTTATTTTTGATACACCTTGCATCAATTGGCAGTACTCACGGAAATTCTGAACCAGATCTACAAAATTTATTTCTGACAATTTTTAACAGCTGATCCTTCCCTTGTCACTTGATGGCAGATTTTTGAAAACACTAATATTCATGTGCTAACCATAGGTTCCATCAATCATTATAGAAGCAGAGATCATCAAAGGGAACTAATTTTTACCAATGTTAAAAGGTTTCATGTGTGGTGTGTTTGGGTTTATCGGCTGGTTTTTGGTTGCTTGCTGCTTTGAAAAGAAGCCTTTTTAGTCAAAGAGTGCTTTTTTATTAATTGAACAATAAACGTAACCAAATAACACATTAATTGATTAAGCAAGCAACCAAGTAACATTTGCAGCAGGCCTCGACCTTAAGCTTTTTTCTTGGTACAAGTAGCCTGCCAGGCAAGTAAACTTATTTTGTCACTAGCCCACAGGAATTTTCACTTGCCCACTGGACTTTTTTTGCAGCAAAACTAACATTGACAAGCAACTTTCCACTTCAGTATTTCAACCGTTACTGTTGAGTCATGCTGTTAATTTTAAAGCTTAAAGGCGGAGGCTTTAAAACTATTACAATAAAAGAATGAACAGCACGTACATGTACAGTGTACGATCAAAATTCACGACGTTTGTAAGTTTCAATTCATCTTTACAAACAAGACAAGTGAGCTTCAAACATGTAAGGCAGGTGTCTCTTTAACAGCCCGCCGGGCATGTTCAAGGGTCATCTTGTTTCCCATGGATCTGGGTCACGATCAGTGATCCTGGAGCTGGTTTGCTCCATCCATTAGGTGGGTTCTGGTGTCAGTGAACCAACAACATATCACTGATCGCAATCCGGATCTGCGTGAAACAAACTGGCTCAAAGAATACATTCTACTGGCCCGCAGCAGTTTTTACCAGAACTTGCACCCTGGTCTAATGCTAAGGTCAAGGCGTGACTGCAATACGATTCTCAACATTCATGCACATAATGCCAAATACTCGGAGTAAAAAAGGATGCAAAAAAGGATGCAATGTCTTTGTTATTTTGCATAGAGAAAAAGCAACAAATGTCCATCTGGGGTATGCCTCTATGCATACCAGAAGTATAATACAATCAACAATGAAGATAAACTGCCAATACTGCCATATGTTTTGCACTGTTGAGCGTGACCCTGTTTCCTCCATTAGTTTCATAATATCGCCCTCTTTTGACACGAGGAAAATGTACCTCGTCAGGCAGCCTATGAGAGGATAGATGGCGCATGTACATGTACACACACAAACAGACATTTGTGTTGGTGCTATGTCTACGTATGATGGGGTGGTCTCCTGAGGAGCAGTCAGAACTGCTTATTTCAGTTTCCCTTGGCATGGAACGATAGCAAGTGTTTGGATGAAGCACTGGGATGGATTGTTGCTCCATTGCAGGTTGCTCGTTAGAAATGCAGGGACCCATTTATACCCTAGGCCAGAGAGTAATGAGTAGGGATGTGGTAGCTTACCAAGGATTCAAATCCCTGATCTTCTGGTCATGAGCCATGAATCTTACCCACTCAGCAACACTCTTCTGTGGCCATATAAGCATACAAACAATCCATGTTTTTCCCCAATGATGAAAGACTTCCCATGATGCAGTGCCTGCTAGGGCACCCAATCCAAGCTCATCTGGGTGAACCACCTGCCTGTGCAAAGACATCCGGTGCCTGGCGTGTGCTGATGCCAGAATGTATGTATACATGTACTCAGTGTTCTCGACTACACTGCCAACCACAGACCGCACAAGCTGACCCCAGATCACCTAGCCTCGCCTCAAGCCACTAAGCTGGGGGCATGTACTGCATCAAAGACAGTCCCTCTGCCCTTTAACTCTACACCTCTTGTGAAAAGACTGGAGATATGATTTAAGATTGCCTTGTGTGGTGGACAAGACGTCAAACTGCATTGCATCCCTGGATATCATGGGTGAAGATCTACGGTAAGTGTCCCGATGTGAGCTGTGGCTTCACCCATTAACAGGAGTCTCCCTGACAGTATGCAACTGAGTACAGTCCCAAATGGCAAGCCAACCATGTCAAACCAATGCTGAGAATCACGCAGTCAAATTTCTCACTTTTTGGGAGTCCTTGCTCTAACAACTGCCCAAGGTCCCTCTAAAACTGTGCATCACTACAGCCTTTTCATGTCTATGGCTCTCTTCCCATATGATGTACATTACGTTTTGCCTAGCAGTATGCTAGGAACACCTGCAAAATTTGTGAACACTTGATCTATGCTTCACAGTGAAACGAGGCAACTGGGATTTCATCCGATTATGCCCTCAGTCTGATTCCAAATAGGTGACTATAGTCCACCAATTCCGTGTTCAAGTGACCCTACACTGCAGTTAAATAATGGCTCACCTCAGTGCTTACTTGAAGTTGCTGTTTTGTTTGGAATGTTCATGTCATCACCAGGGTACCCTGGGCACAATGAGTGTGACATCAATTGTGGAAATTCCACAGCCTGGCATATGGCTTCCAGATTTCATTTCATCAATGCCATGTGGATGTCATTATTCAAGGTTCATTTGTCTTGTCCTTGTCTGATTAATCACCACTGGATATCAAAAACAATTCCTTTTTTCAATTGTTTCTTCCCCCCTAAAAGCAACAGTATGGTGTCAAATTTACACTCTGGGCAATGACTTTGATTTCAGAATTCTAGCACATTTAGAACAAAACAATCAAGGCCAAAACACACACAAAAAAAAAGGTGGAAAAAGACACACTGACCTGACAGACCACTCGATACACAGAATCCGTGAATATACACAAACACATGTACATAATTTATGAACAGGTTATAGAGATCACCATGCAAAGTTATGTATTCCCAGATAAACCACATAACCCAGGTCTCCTACGTGAGGTGCACAATGATGTCATGCAGCCCAAGCATATCAACGAAAGGGTGAGGGCAAAAGTGTTAAAATGCTGCACTGGCTACACCGCTCTGCTGATACTAGATGTACATGTGAGTCACTGTTAGTGCCCATGTGCAATTCCAAGTGATTTGCTCCCATGCAGGTGCATGTATCTGATTAGTGATAAAAAGCTTGTACACAAATCAGCTGCCATCTTGAAGCATCATGACATTACTAGGAACAGCCAAGCATGTGCCCCCAGCCTGCTCGGACAGCGAGAGAATGAAATGTGATAATAACAGCTTCACAAGTGGCCAAGAAAAAAGAAATGCAAGCCATGTTTCTCCCACGGAGGATTCCAACCATTAGTTTATTATTGTTTTTAATTAAGCATTTTTTTTTGGAGTCGGTCATTGGATGGTGCGGGTGGGCAGCGGCAGCGGTGGTGTTGGTGGTGGACAGGCGATGGACTTACGTGGCTCGGTGGGCTCCAGAGGGGAGGGTTGGGACTGTTCGTCTGAGCCAGCCTCTACATCCTGGTGGTAGTGGCTCATGTGATAATTCAAGCCAGGCCTGTTCTTGTAGCGTTTGCCGCACACTAGCGTTATGGAAGAAGGGGGGTGACAAAACCGTCAGACGGCATAGTCCAGACTTATCGGGAGGGGGGAGGGGGAGGAGAGGGAGGGGGTGTCGATTCTCCCCCTCCCCCCAAAAAAAGCAATGGGGAGTAGCCTGGGGAGGCAAAGTCTGAACTCCGATTAATTCAATTTCCCTGACATGACTTAAGAGTTGTAGTGCTCCTCGGATTATCTGTCCACTACTTGAAACCCCCTCCCCCCAGAGATAACAGAGATTTACAATTAAAGTGATGGTACACAGTGTTATTCTAGATAATAGACATAAAGTTATGACTGGATTTATCAAACCTGTGGAGAAATGGTAAATTTAGTCTGATAATGGTTTCCAAAATTTTCAAGTATGTTTGGTAAGTAATCATTGCAGTGCAGAACGGACACGAGACCTTGGCGGACAACTTCTTAGGAAAAAACACTGCAATGTATGCAATAACCAGTGGAAGATGTTAATCAAATCCAGGCCAATTTCATAATCAGATATTCTCAAGGGATTGCAGCTAGAAGGCCAACATGTGTTCTGAGAAATTATTAAACTTTCGACTCAACATTTGCACCCAAATTATACCGAGGGGGGAGGGAGGGAACAATTTGAGGATGAAGAGAAACCTGTGAAAGAAAATGGGATTTCGCTCCTAAGTGGCCGTGATTATGTGAATCCTAGAAAACTCAAAATGATTTAATTTCTAACAATGTACAACTTTTTGGGTAAAGAACCTGAAAATTGGGAAAAAATAGGGCAGTAACACAGCTATACGTACATATCTAGCATATGCACTTTAGGGGATTGTTTGAACAGCAATTCAAAATGTTCGATTAACATGAGAAATCTACATGTAGTATGTAAATCCAGGTGACTGTCCTGGATGGTTTACAGATTACTGCATTTGCAAAATGGCGGACTGTTCTTCTCCAGTACTATGCAATATTATACAAACATGCTTTGCCAATACCAAACTGAATTGGCGTCAGAAATCTGGAAGAGATGAGCTTCTGCATTACAGTTTACAAAGTTTCAACTCAATGCCCTTTTCTGTCGGCACAAAAGTTTAAACCCCTTGACGAATGCTCTTAGCATCCTGCCAAATGCAACAAAATGTGACAATGGTGCAACCTTGGATTTTCGTCGCAGAATACAATGTACATGCACTGGGCTAACAGAAACAAAGTCACCTTGACTTTGTACTTTACAATGTTCTGTTGTATTTTGTTGCATTTTAATAGCAGGTTTGGGGTTAAGACTTGGGAAGACTCAAAGCTTGCTAATTGGGGCAATATTGTACACCAATGTGATGATAAAAACATCTCTTACACATATCCCTCCGACCACTAGTTTGAAATTCACCAAAGCCCCTAACCACAATTCTACAATGTTCTGAGGAGTGGACTTTACAGTGGAGCCAATTTACACCCAAATGCGCTTGCAAAGAATGTGACACTTGGTCTAATACAGCAGTGCTGGATTTGACAATTTGGGAAAAGTTTATGGAAAAACACTGCCTCAGAGGTTTGAGGCACATGTATTCATTTTATTGAATTTATACATGTTACAAGTCTCCAGATAATGATGTTTACTGGTTGAATGGACCTTTCCCATGAAATATGCAAATCAGACAGGTGCATGCGCTACTACCAATGGATGGCAAGCACAGCGGTCAACACTGTCAGCAGTGTGTTGCAGACCTGTCTTACCATAACCTGGCATGTTGGAAGGTCAATCAAAATCCTATTACAGCCTTTGCCTGATATTTCAGCCGACTTTACTCGAAACTAAGTGAAGTTTTCAGCGTCCTCAGGTTGGAAAGTAACAGTTCCTTGTCTTTTAAGTTTGGCACTCATGTGGCGCGCACAAAGAGATTTGTGTTGTTACGTAACAGATTTAAGCAACTTTGCCAACCAGTGGTAGTAATGCGCATGCAGCTGCCTTATTTGCATATTTCATGGGAAAGGTCCATTCTACTCCTCTGTTGCATTTGTTTCATTGACTGCACATTTGGTGTTAAACTCTTAAGTCTTACTCCCTAGGGTGATTTACTAGCATTGTAGCAACTGCCTACATCCTTACAAACTCAACACCATATACGTGTAGTAAGCTGTGCATACAAACAGTTGGGCTCCGTTCAATTGAGGTATGCCTAATTTCACATAAAACGCGGCCAGTATACCAGTGCAGTACTCATCCTAACTGATGCCAACAAACCCTGGTGTTGGAGTTTGGCTGGTTTGGGATTGTTAGGGTTAATAACTACATGCACTAGGACTGTATTTGACCCAAAGATGTTTTGAAAACCTTGGAAAATGTCTCTTACATGTCCATTATCTCTACCGACCTTACAACAAAGCAGCTGCGGTTTCCTACGTGGGCAGAGGACACCAGACTACATTTCTTGACACATCCAATATGTGTTAAGACATTTGCATGAAAAAGGGCTTGTTATGAGTTGAAATGAAGCCACTGTTATTCATACTTCAGACCTAAATGTTTATACAAGTTCTGGAAACATAATGAGTCCGAATGACATAAACTGCACAAAGGAAAGAAACCACATCAAAGTCTTATGTACATGTATGTATCTATAAATTTACATTACATTATACAATACTACAAATGCTCAATAGCTTAGGTCTGTCTTTCTAATCTCTCAATGATGGCCAAACAATGTTGTCCATTAATGGACAAACTGTAGCTACACAAAGTTAACTACAGTAACTTACCTGTATAAAACTGAAATTCCTCAAGGAAGTGCACACAACATTTTGTAAAACAGTTTAAATGTTGGCTGGGACACAGGAAGGAGCCAATCTGATCAACAACTACAGTTGACCATGGTGCATGCAAACAAATGAAGGATCTATTCGTGGACAGTTTGAGACAGCCTACAGAGGTTGGTCCAACTGCTCATCATCATCAACCCTAAACCTGCTTGGGTGTGTGAAAATTACATTCAAACTGAAGGATTGGGAATTGTGTGCGCTAACCTTACATAGCTAGTGTGGACTTGTGAACAAAAGATGTCCACACAATGTAGGAAAGGAAGACGTTCTGAGGACTTAAACACGTCCACAGGACATTTCCCCTTCTCTGAAAAAGAAGTTTAGAGGCATTTTAGGGTAGGGGTCATCGTCGTAAAAGGAAAAGGAACAGTCAAGGAAACCTTTTATAATAGATCCAGTTTGAACTAGTTACACATAATAAATATTGTTACAAGTGTGCAAGGTTCATCATACATTATTGATCACTGATAATGTACAGCTTTTGATAAAACCTGCTTAATTATACACGACTTTTGGTCTTGATTTTAAGGGTACATAACTCTCATTTTGGGAGGACTCTGCAACCAAAAGGGGTATATGATGAGGAACTGTTTTTGGATGAAAGGATAAACAGCACTGCAACATGACAAAGTGAAGTATGGTATTTGTAATGGCAATAATTACCTTTACAACCAAACGGTTTCTCCTTGTCTTCTGCTTGCAGGGTGGGCATGTCAATGTCTACTGGGTTGGCCTTCTTCCTACCTCCTCCTCGACCCTGGAATGTAAGGGTCAAGTAAAAACGGGGGGTCTTGTTCGAGTGGTCCGAACATGACATTGAGGTTTGTTCATCTGAAAACTTAACATATGGTGCACCAGTTCGAACATTTATTACTTCGAAGATTCATCGGTTAGTAGGTTCAACAGTTGAAATTTAGGACAGAGTTTATTGTGTTGACTACTCTGAAGGTTCCGACTATCGAAACTTGTGGACTACTGAACCTCACTGTCACCTTGGACTATTGAACCTTGCCATTTCGTAGTATTAAACTTTGCTGTCTTGTATAATAAGACTAGAGGCATGTAGAACCTTCAAATTATTTTACCTACATGTAATTCTATTTTTGGACAAATGAACCCTTCAGCCTTCAGACCATGAAACCTCTGCAGTAGCAAATCTTCAGATCTTTAAACTTTTAGAATAATTAATCTTTGGACAATTGAACCCTTGGTGTATCAAGGGGTATCTTTCCAATGCATATAGAGCTGTTTTCAGCCATAGAGGAGTCAAGTCCATGCCAAGTCCCTGCAAGCCCATCGCAGCTCCATCACAAGTCTTTCAGTTTTAATTCAAGTCACAATGCATTCAAATTAACTGTGACAAAATCATTCCTTTGTCGTTGTTCACCCCGTTAATTATGACTGGTCTTACAAAAGCACTTGTAACTGGACTTCGGAAGGGACGTGAGATGGATTCGATTACAGCACTCACTTTCAGAGGTTTTACATTCATCTCTCGGGTACCAACAAAAGTGTATTCCTTTTCAAAAAACCTTCTATGATCAAACGTAAAGGCTATTTTACTCAGTGAATGTAATAGGTATGTGGTGGCACCGTACCAAATATTTGTTTGTGAGAATGTACAGTACTGAATAACAACTAGAGGGTACTCAACATTTCGGACAGTATGCTTTGTCTGTCATCAGAAGACTGGGCCATTTTACCCAGCCAGACCTACATGTACTGAGAGAACAAATGGTCAAACCACTCTCCAATAAACACATGGTCTTAACCGACTCTCCAAATACCTTTCGGCCTCGTTTCTTGCGGGAGGAGACCTCGAAGTCCTCATCACTCTCATCTGAGTGGTTCCTCTCAATCTCCCCGGCGTCTGGGATGTCGTCCACTGCCTCCATCTCCCGGAACAGCTCCTCCTGCTCCCTGTCAGCCAGGGACATGTTGGATGTCTCGGCATGCTGATCCGTCTCTGAGAAGGTACCGTGCACAGTCTCTGGCACTTCAATTCCATCTGTAATTTTACATGACACATCTGTATTGGTTTGGTGATTTTTTTTCTTAAGTCATATTAAATTTATAATTATGTAACTTACATGTATCTCCAAATGCCACTCGATGTACTTCTCAGTACTTCAGATTTGATGCTACATTAACCTTAAGTCTACTCAACAGCAGTTTGAAGGATGTCAGATATGCAGCTTATACAGTGCCAGGGTAACTACTGTACCACACAGGTAACTGCAATGAAATCAACTTAAGCACTTTGTATGTTGGGTTTTGTTTCACTCTGCACGGTTTCTGCAGCATAGCCGATGTGATGCAACACTGTGCAACCTGTATGGGGTCACTGGATAACCAAGTACCCAGAGATTCATGATTATCATTTCCTTTCAGAGAACCATAGCATTCTTGAGCACTGGGTGTACACGTAACTGCGAAAAACTATTTCTGAATACAAGGTCTTTTGATGTCACAGTCATGTTTTTTCTACACATGGCTGCTAAAACTATACACGTAGTTGGCTGTCAGTACAAAAGAAAAAACTCCCCGAGCTTTCAGAATACCAGATAATGTACTCCTAAATACTAAATGAAAATACAACCCTGTTTAAAACTTAACGGGATGAATGTCCATTACGAATTAATTTAAGGTAAAATAGAAAACAAAGCAAAAGGTGATATTTCTGCAAACTTTGGCCTCCAATACAAGTTGTAGGCAATTGTTTATATTCCTGCTTCTCTGACTACTTAATACCCAAAATGCACCTGTGAGTGTGACGGAATTCTGAAGCCACCATATAAAACCATCAGCACCTGAAGTTACCACTGCAGTAGGAATGAACCAGCAGGGTTCCGGATCCGCATGAAACAAACAGGCCCAATACATTTATCTTTTCAATATTATTCGGGTAATGTGTTCACATATTGTAAATATATTCTGCTTGTCTGAATGGTCACACAATGTCTTTTTGGAAGTGTAATGATGTTGTAATTTGTGTTCTCTTGTGTCCTGTATTTTTTGTCCCCTTGAAGTTTGAGACAAGTTCCTGTTACTGGTAATATACCCAGGTGCCTGTGTTTTATCTTATGAGGTGTCGGGTTCTTGTACTCCTGTCAATGTCTGTAGGTTGAGAACTGAACTTGCCTGTGACACCTGGCTGGATGTGGACATACAAGTTGCTGGAGTCGGCCAGTGGTACCTGGTGAGGCTTACGCTTCTTCCGCCACCGGCGGGAGGGGTAGGAGTAGAGCTGGCCCGCGGTGCGGCCAGGGAACCGGTGGCGCTTCTGCATCCAGAGGAAGCAATTGTTCTGGGCTACCCCGGTCTGTGAGTCCAGAAATGGCAGTCGCATTTTGCGCTCGGCCACCAGGCGTGTGTTGAACGAAGCGGCATTTTCCGTCGCCTCACGATAAAACTGTTCGTAATCACTGCAAACAGCCATTGAAACAAAGATACAACATAAGCTTATCAACCTGTATACAAAAGAAAATGGTTCAAAAAGCAATAGTTATATAGTGACTGTACAGGGGGATCGTACATGCAGGTGACCTCACGCATCGAAAAAAAACATCAATGTTGCAAGATTCTTCAAGTTAATTCACAGAACTTAATATCTTGTCTGTGTGTGCATTTTTATTGTTCAGGAGTTTATTTTAGATTGTTTTCCCCGTACTTGAAGCGAGAATGTTTCTACAAAATTTCCTACTGCGGTGCACTGAGGTTTTACATGCCTGGGCACCTTTCTGGGTGCATTGACAATTACCAGAACAGAATTACCAGTACAGAATTGTGTATTGCTTTGAAATAACTATTTCCAAGGATGGATTTGAAATAAACTTGAAGAGGATGAGAAATAAGCCCAATGCTAGTCCAACCTTTCACTGCATGTATTAATCATATTAATTTACCACGGACAACGCAGTTGACATTAATTTTAGTGAATGCCATGGAGTTTTCTAGAAACATGTATGACTCCGTGCCGTTTGTGGAATTCCTCTTTTGACCATGGCTTGTGCTTGTAACACCCTTGAACATGGACGGGGTGAAGTGGAAATGGGGCGAAACAGGGGTGGGGCGAAGTGGAGATGGGGCGATGTGGAAATAGGGCAAAGTGACTGTAGGCCTAATTTGTAAAGCTATCTAGGGACATGCACAAATGAGTGAGGGCACTGTTCATTTAGGAACTCATTTTCTTAAATTGGAAATTGTGATTGAAATTTGTCTTTTCCGCACGCTCTACCTCCTCTATTTAATTTCCAATTTCATTTTTTTTGAAATTTCAAGTGAAGCCAATATTTAATTCATTGAAATAAGGCACGAATATGAACAAAGTTTTTCAAAACTATGGATTTTAAGCTTTGCAGTCAAAATCCACACACGAAAAATCACAGTTTGCTCTGCATGTACAAAAAATGTCCCAAAACATCTCCAAATACCTCTACTTTAAATCAAATGCTTTGCAGGGACCGACGGAACCTGAACTTATATCAAAATGTTTCTCATGACATCCTCTCCAAGATTAAGTCCAAAAGAAACAGAAAAAATAGTTGAAAAATTTATGAGCCTCCCTACCATGGCATGAAAGCAGGCCTAAGTTATTTCAAAGTTAGACTTTATATTTCCTTATTATAGGAACAGGGTGCTAAAGGTAATCAACACCGTTTCCTTCTGCACCACGATCAGCATGTGTGAGATTTTAACAGAGTACACGTAGGCCCCTAATAATAACCCTATATCATATATGAACCTATGAATCTTGGTGCATATTACAACTGGTCAACGAGTTTTTTCAATGAAATTGATGAGCGGGACAGAGCAAGAGCAACCAGTCCAAGGCCTAATAATTATTAGGCCTAAGTAATGGATTTTTAAGAATCAAATGGTCCGTAAAATGGTATGAAATAAAGCTGGACAAAGCTATCTATTGTCTTATTTTATTCACCATCAAGCACATACAGGAATATTTACCTATTTTTTCTGAAAAGGACTGACATTTCCCCAACAGTTTACGTCTCTTTTGTTCGGCACATGCGACACTCATACATAGACTAGACTGGCACTTCTTATTCTAATTCGCATAAATAGCGTATTCTTTTAAGGAACCAGACTTTTTCATTTGCGCATGCGCACATGTTCAATCAAAATTTTTAAATTTACCGCGGTTCATCGTACTCAACAGTTCCGACGTTTTCTGCGATAAGTCTTACCAAATGTGGTAGTTTGATCGCTTTAATTTTAATCTGATGTAGAGATAGAGAAATCAAAGGTATGATGAATCCTTCGGATGAGTGGGAGCTGAGTAAAGAGAACGTTCAGCCACTGAAACATGGGCGGAAAGTGACTAGTTTGACGGCCGCTTTGCAGCCGCACAACGTTGATCAACATCAGCAGCTAATTCTCCAACGACAGTAAGTAACATACATACATGTAGCCTATAAAATAAAGAAACGGGTCAAGTTATCCCCGAGTCAAGTCGTCCCCCCCAAAGGTGTCAGGTCAACACGACCGTTTACCAACTCGACTCGAGTCAACTCGACTCTCGACCAACTCGACCGTTGTTCCTTCGGTTTCGAGTCAACTCGGACCCTGTATGTATTTTCACTGTAGACATGGAATGTAAGTTTTTAACGTAAAGTCTCCAGTATAAAAAACTCCAACAGACAGCTGTATTATCAACAGTAAAACTCGCGTGTAATTCGATATGCTATTGGTAGGTACATGTATGTGACAAAGAAACTTAAATTTTTTTTTATCTACTTGTACTTACTTGTATTTTGGTACCATTGCATTGTAAAAAACATAAAAAGAGCTTTAATATGATGTAGGCCTATAATTCAACTTTCTACATGTACAGTAGGTCAAATATCAAGTGTGATTGTGATACATTTACATGTACATATAAATATTTAAAAATGACATTCAGGAATAAAATTTGGCTTGAAAACATACATGTATCAACTGCTACATGTAAATGATTCGTGTGTTTTTGAGAGTGTTTTACCTTCGGGCGATTTTCATCGCACAAAAAGTCCACTTGGGTACGTGTACTTCGCACCAAAAGAAAAAAGACCACACGATATTGAATGGCAGCTTTTCCTGTGCCGCAAATGGAAGCATGCTTTTCAATATGGCCCCAGAATACCTGGATTAACTGGTACCTGGCAGTTAAAAAATATGCACATGCACGCAAAAATTGGTACATGTAACATGCAACATGTCCGCAATGCACAGCGTCCAAGATCACACAATGTCATGTACATGTACCTACTATAGGCCTACTATGAATATTATAGGTCTGACATAATCCAATTTTCGCTTGAGTTACGTTACGAGTTGTCCCAGGCACTAATTGTCCTGTGTACAATATATGACATGTCCTGGGTATGAGTTGTCTTGGGTATGAGTTGTCCCAGGTATGAGTTGTCCCAGGTATGAGTTGTCACGGGTACAGAATGTCCAGGGTAGTATACATGTATGTACATGTACATGTAGTTGTCACAGGTACATGTACATGTACATGTAAGAGATGTCCAACATTCCCTACATGTACATGTACAATGTAGCTTACTCTATGGATAGCTACATGTACATGTATGTATAAACTACATGTATGTATAACCACATTTTGGCTGTTTCGATTATGCCAGCTTACATGTACTCTTTCATCACAGCTACATGTATTTGTGCAACAAAATTTACATGCCGCCTTGATGAAATTGAATGTCTGATGTGGAGGTTCATTCACCTTATTTCCTCATTAAAATGGTGAAATTCTTGAGCACACTCTGCAGATGTAGTTTTTTCCAACCAAATGTAATGGATCTGTGGCTCTCCATGTCAAAGTACATGTACATGAACATGTGTATACACTGTATCTACATGTAAGTATTATGTTCATTCAATTCAACTTTTGTTGATGCAGGGCCAAGGAAGCCGCCCTACGCAGCTACACAGGAGATGACCCCCTACAGCCCTGGCACGAATACATCAGGTGGACAGAGCAGGCCTACCCCAATGGAGGCAAGGACAGTAACCTCCAACCACTGCTGGAGAAGTGCCTCAGCAAGTTTAAGGATGAGGCACGCTACAAGAACGACGCTCGATATGTCAGCTGTTGGATAAAACTGGTACGAGTGGCAGCCTTAAACCTGTATGCTTCTGTGCGAGGAGCAGACATATTTAGCTTCAACAAGCATCAACTAGTGTCAACTAAGCGTCAACAAGTTATTCAAGCATATTTATGCAAACAAATTATATAATATTAGGCATCTACATATATCACATTTATCTAAAATGATATTTGAGTGTGGAAATTAGAGTGACAAAGTCGATTCTACTTGTGTAGCCTAATCTGCCGCCATCTTGTTTTCACATGGACGCCTCAACGGCCGACAAAAAGAAACATGGCGGCCCCCATACATTGTGAAAAATTTTTGTTTTCCTGCGTGAATCTGATATAAAATTCCATTTTTCTTATAAAGTAGAACTTTTTAGAAACCTTTAGAGGCTATTTTCAAGTTGTTGATGCTTTGTTGACGCTACTTGTGTGTGTTGACGCTTGTTGATGCTAAATAGCACAACCGTGTAGTTGAGACCATCTCAAGGCTAATTTCAAAAGACCCGTCACAAGTACATGTAATGGGATGAAAAATGACAAACGGATGCTTTTATGGCTGTTCATTGGACTATCACGTGTCTCCAATTCAGACTTGAGGTCTTGTGACAGGTCTTAAAGGGGTCTCGGCTGCAGCAGTGATGCTAGCATAATAGCATCAGGTGCATGTTGGCAAGTGCCTGCAGGTGTTAACCTCGTCTCTCTCTTTGTCAGAGTGGGGAAAGTACATTGGAACTAAAAGTACCCCCTTCATGAAGGATTTTGAAAGCTTCACTGCTGTCAGGACCTGACGATGTACATGTACTTGTACCAATTACAGAAGTTTGAACAGAGAAAAGTACTGGTGTGATTGCTGGGATTGCTAATGTTGTTATGAGTGCTGCTTCTTCCTTTGTGTTCCATGAGAAATTAATGCCATTTTTGAACTAAATAGCAAGAGAGCCCGCATCGCTGAGTACTTTTTCAGTTAGACTGTTTTGCTGTCGGTGCGAGAGCTTTCTAGATAGTTTCGTATTTTTCCGTACACTGTAGCGACCATGAGGCTTGTCATCATTTGTGCGATGGTGCAAACCTCTCGATATCGGTCTGGTGCATGCACGTACATGTATATGTAGTAGCTTAGTGTTGGTATTTTATCACTGGCTCTGTTGGCCAAAATGACAGTTTTTTTTTATAAACTCCATTGCCAGGCCAACTGCTTTCTGAACAACCCTCTGGAGATCTTCCAGTTCATGCGGGACCAGGGTATTGGCACCGAACTCAGCATCTTCTACGAGGCGTGGTCCTGGGAACTAGAGCAGCTGGGCAACACCAAGAAGGCAGATGCCGTTTACAGAGAGGGGCTCGCCTGCCGCGCCCAGCCCAAGGATATGCTGGAGATGGCACACAGGTACTGTATCTGGGACTGGGACACGTTGCTAAGAATAGATCAATCCTTTCAGTCTCATTTTAGTGTGTGTGGGAAATCAACACGTGTTCTGCCGGAATGCCTTATTAGATTATAGAGCCATGTACATGTACATGAACATGAACGTCAAGGACACATTTATGCATGTCAGACTGTTGTGCATGTCTGCTGTTGCATGCATGTTGTTTGGTGGGGTGTCTCCCAATATGTAGCCTCGTGAGGTGGTAAGATTGGAGTTTAGACTATGCATGCGTGTACATGTACGGTACCTCGCAGTGCTGCATCCATTTTACGTACATGTATGAATATTCTGTTACTAGCAGTGAAATGTACTATTACAGGTTTACAACAGTGTGGCCATAGGTATATGCATAAACCCAACAGTCCTTTGAGGACTGGTTGAATTTATGCAGTGTGAGCCATGATGATCGAAGCATATTGTAGCTCCAGAAAGTTTAATTGTGAAGATTTGCAAGCATGTTCAAAGGTTTAACCAAACTCAAATTAGAAAGATGGAGAACTAACTTCCCACAATCCCCGGCAACTTTGTTTAGTAATGATACTGTCACTAACAGGTTCAAGTAAATAATTCAGGTTCGATTTTCTCTGCTTCAGAGAATTCCAGTCGCGCGTTGCCCGGGCAACTGTGAACCAGATCCAAGAGGGGTCAGATGCCTCTGGGACGCAGATGGAGCAACGGGAACACCTGGGCGAGCTAAAGGGTAAAGGTCGCCACCAGAAAGTCAGCAGCCAGAGAGTAGGGGCAGCCAAGCATGGTAATAATAGCTACAGTAATGTACTTTTGTGGTTAATTTTTTGTTTTATTTAACCTAACTGTTACTGCTGTAGCTTGGAGTTGTCTGAGTCAGAGCTTAATTTTATTCAGACGATGCCAGTATTTTTTCGCAATGAATTTATCTCACATGCCTGAATAATTTTGGGGCAGAATTTTTGGAATGACAAGATATCACTGGCAAAATGATGCCCATTTTGAGTAGTTTGTTTCAGAATGTGCAACATTTCTTTACTGCATCATGGCCATTTTTGACACACCACAACATAAGTCACATATAGCGATGTTTGCCTTGATGTCCAACTGTGGCACACAGGTGCTTCAGGGCTTCAGACATGCCAGATCTCAACAGACAGGTTCAAGCCTCTAAGTGCACTGAAGTGTGGGGATAAGTACTGTACAATGTACATGTACAATGTACATACAGTATGTCACCTGGCACTGTATACAGAAATTGCTGTGGGATTCATGTATTCACAAATCTGCCTGAAAACAGTCTCAGAAATCTTTTGGGTTCATGTAGCCTTCAGCGTGAATCTGAAAGAGCTCCGTGCATAAATGAGATAGTCTTTCTGCTTTCTAGTCGGGAAGAGGTACAACCAGACCACAATTTGCAGTTTTGTAAGTTTGGGTCAAAGTCTTGATGATTCTGCCTTTCTACAGTAAACAAAGGAGGACTGAATATCGCTCCGTCAACCCAACAAGTCGGTCAATCTTTCTCTGTGTATTGTGACAGCGAAGCTTCCCAGGCTGCCTCTCGCCCCATTCAGTCCTCACTACCGGCCCCGACTGGCGAGTGGGAACGCATACCTGTCCAGGGAGAAACGCAGAAGGAGAACGTGCGAGAGGCAGGGCCTTGGGCTGGACAAAAGGTAGAAAGAGAGGCCTGAGTTTGTAAAATGCAGGGGTGTTAAGAATTGAGTTTTTTTAGCTGATTTCACCTTTTTTATTTATACACCTGGTCTGTACAAAAGTATGGGAACTTTTTACATTTCATTTTTCTGTTAGCTGTTTTCAGCTTTATTTTTAAGTGGCCACTCGCACCCCTGAAAATGCAGGGTACTGTAAATTAGGAAATTGTGAACTCTATCTACTCTGAGTAGGAAATACATGTAGATCTGGGACGGGTTTTTACTCAGCATTGTTGATTGCTTGGTGGGAACTCACTGCATATGCGCACAGATTCAATACTCACTTATATGGTCTTTTGCCTGTAGATACAATGTGATATGTTTAGTGTGCCATGTTTTGACCTATCATTCTTTGGCCTGACTTGTTTGACACAAGTTGCACCTGGGGCCCAATTTCATGGCGCTGTTTACTGCAGAATTCTGCGCTTACGATCGCCATTCTGCGCTAACCGCACAAGCAGAAAAATTCTGTGCTAACCTTTTGAGCACAGAATCCTTAGTTATGGGATGTACGCATGTACGCATAGGCTGCCTATGTATCATGCATTAAGTAATCATTTATTTACATGTATATCAGTTCATCCAACAGTGCATTTAGTGTTAATTACATGATAAAGTGATAATAATTAAGAAGACAATGAAGAAATGTTCAGGTTGAGACGTGGGAGGAAAACCTTGATGAGTATTCCAGGGAAAACCCGCAGTCAGGCAGGGACTGAAAACCTAATTCACATGCTGATCTGGGTGGGATTCGAACCCGGGTTGTAGAGGTGGAAGGCAAGAGGAAAGAGCCACTACACCAACCTGTCTCCCCTGAAATCTTGTCTTGAACCCTTGGGATTCTGTCATGCCTTTCAGTGGCTGAATGGGTAGTTTGATTTTCAGTGGAGTCAGCAAAGTTATCTGAACTCATTCAGTACACTTTCCACCAAGGCTACAAAGGGACACGTACATTAAGCGCTATCTGTTTCTGCATTTCAACTAGTACAGAAGAAGTGTGTGACCGGTATACAATTTGGTTGTTTCTGATCAGGTTCGTCAGCATAGGACTGCCACTGGGGGGATAGGAGTCAGCCAGCTAGCCACCTTTGCCCAGCCTTCCTTCAAGGTCCACGTGGATGAGACCGGTCCAGAGATCACGTGAGTTGGGATATCTTCTGCCCTCTGTTGTTAGCTTGCCAAATATTTGTGGCTTACTGATCGAACTGGTTTTGTTTGACGTTTTGGTCAGGGTGCTCTGACTCGAGTGTTAAGTTAAAAGTAGATCCGCCTTGCTCTTTGTTGTATTCTGTTTTGGCAGGTCTTGCCCACTTCCACAGAGGTCTGTTTTCTAGGGGTGTGCATTTATGGGCATTTTTGGAACCTGGTACCCGTTTTATGTCAATACTGTGTACCCAGGTACTCTTGAAATATAAAGAGCACTTAACAAATGGCATTGTGTGCATTCCTGGCTGATCGTGTTCCCGAAAAAGGGCTCTTTTTTTCGTACATAGGAAGCAGCACATTGTTCCAAATGTAAGAGGGGAATCTCCCCTACCTTTTGATTAAACAAAGTTTTAGCTTTGATTTGTTACAATCGTAGCTCCGTCGATCTCTGAACCGGAGTTATGACGGCCAGACCAGGTTTTTCTGTGGTGCAATGATTTTGCAGCAATTCTGCCCTGCACTAATTAAGTTCACATACATTTTTTATGCTTTTAATGTTTTTTAATGGGTACCCAGCCTGAAAAAATGGAACTGAAGAATGAAGACATTATTCACCATAAAGAGTGAGAACTCAGCTCCTAAGCTGATTTGAGCTTTTTTGTTTTGATTTTTACTCTGAATTTCAGCTCTTTTGCACATCTGCTCTGTACAAAATTGCTGGATCTTTTCAAATTTCAGCCTTTTGCCAGCTATTTTTGGCTTTTGTTGTTAATGTCTACTTAGTCCTCTGAACAAGCTCGAAAGGCAAGTGTGTATCCTCATTTTGATGCCACGTTTTTGAACAGGACACCTCAGAGGATGCCTGAGATGGGCAGCCAAGTACTGAGCGCTCGCAAACCAGAGAAACCCACCAACCTGCTCCAGAACATTGCCCAGGTGAGTTCTCTCTCTTATAAGCAACGCAGGATCATCAGCTCATGCCTGCATTAGACATTTGGCTCCTTTGGCAGTGAGCAACCCTTTCTTTCTTGGAAAGATTTACCCATAATATAAGGTTGTTCACAAGTGAAAAACAAAACGTCAAAGTCACTGAAGTTGCCTACTTTTATTTACTGTGGTTGTAACAAAACTTGTCTGCTAGATTTCTCAGTATTATCAATGGCTCTTTAAAAATTTAGAGCCTGACTCATGCAGCAACATCCAGTCACTAGATTTCAACATATCCCGGTGGCAATTTATACGTAGTATTACAAATTCTAACTGCAGTGTTGTTCTATGAAGTCGGCATGTCTCATTGCATCCATTTCAATGCTTCTTGGCATGCTAACTTATGGCTGAGCAAGAAAGGGCACTTTCCCTTAGTTTCTTATAGATGATCCTTTGTGCCTCATTTAAGCTGAACTTGTGCCATTTCAAGGGAATTTCTTTGATTTTCACTGCAATGCAAAGGCGTCATCCAAGACAGAAATGTCAGAGTGATGGCCAATTCTACACTCAACTTTGTTGGAATTTCAGATATTTTGCTGTTGAAATTGATGATTGGCTTTTGTTTCAGTTCATGACAGTATATTCTTATGTCTGCTGAGCCAATTTTGGGTTTGCAATTTTAACCAACCCCCCAATGAACATTGTCTTCCAGTAAGGACTTCACAGCAGCGGTGCCCTCATTTGTCAGGAAAATTTAAATGATAAGGAAGGACATTTTGCAATGCAGTAACCATAAAAATGAGATGTCAAATAATTTTCTTACGTGTTTCTGTTGTAAAAAAATGTTCCCCAATAAAATTCACATCACGGGCACTTTCATTGACTGTTATTACAGCAACCTGTCACGGACGATAAGACTAAAGCCATGTATTGTAAGCATCTGATCTACAATGGTGCCAATGAGATGTCCTTTGAGGAGCTTAGAGCGATCAAATACAATGCCAGACGTGAAGCCAAAAAACTAGAAGGTGAGTCCAAACAAATGTTGATGGATACTTTCGTGAAGTTGTTGCAGTATGGATTATGAATATTCTTTAGTAATGTTTAACTGCGGATTAAAAGAAAATATTGAAATGAAGACCGATACAACATGTAGTTTTGCATTTTTTTTGCATGAAATGTGGCTTATTCTCATGACACAAATACTAAGTAGTTTATTGGAAATGTTGACTCTGAAAACGTAAGTCTATAACACTTTGGTTGACAGGCTCGGACAATACCCAGTAGAGATACGTGTACATGTATTCTGAAAAGTGATAATTTACCTTACACTTGCAGCTAATTTGCATAGATTGTAGGTCAACTCGCCCCCTGGCCGACTCGCTTCTTACTAACTCGCCCCCTGACCGACTCGCCCCCTGACTGACTCGCACCCTGGCCAACTCGCCTCCCCTAAGTTTGCCAAGCACGTATGGCTGGTCCATTCACCATTTAATTAAAAAAAACACAATCAGTCGGAGATGGAATCGTGGATTGCTG